TGTCCATATCGGTTCGTGAGGAGCTCGCCGAAAGCGAAAGTGTGGTGGACTGTAGGGCACTCTTCATTGCGTCGTCTGGGTGGAAAGGTGCGTCACCAACACCGTCTAGCATGATTTAGTTGTATTTTTGCTGATCGGTGCACAGGACGGCCCTGAAGAATATATACCTAGAAAACCGTCAGCCTTCAGCTATGTAGGAATGTGGCCGCTACCTACCCCTTGTTCTGAAATCTGAAAACTAGTGTACTCTCGTGGTGAACGAGCGTGACCCGGAAGGGAGGTCCAGGCAACTACTATGTAATAATCCACACGGATAAGTAGGGCAGCTATAATTCACGAGGGTAAGTTCACATTAACAAGCAAAGGACACCAACTGTCTACCTCTAGTGTTGACCCTGGAGCTTCCCTACAAGTAGTGGCGGGCGTCGAAGTCATCAGATATTTATTTATTTACTTATTTATATATTTACAGAATACTGTTAACCCTCCATCATCAAAGCTGGAGAGGTGAACTCAAAATTCTGCAAAAACACTCGCAGTTTCGACGACATCATGAGGATAAGTGGGCTTAGATGATAGTGAGAGTGGTCTAGTATTTTTTTTTCACTGTTAGGCAAACGTAGTGGTTTTTTTCGTCAGGTGGCACCAGGTTATGAACATAAATCAAGCTGCGCCCGTATGAACACAAAAACCTTGCCCCACTCTCTGTGGGTGCAGGACATAAAGCACTCATATCCAGACAGTCTGATTGGAGCTGACATTTTGCGTTCAAATTACAATTATAGAGAACTGGTTCGTGAACAAATATTGCCTGAAGTCGGACATGCGCGGCCTAAACCCTCTGGCGTTCCAGTGAAAGACAGTTGCGTTTTTTGACCTCCTCTGGAAAGGGATAGCATGTCACGGGCCATAGTTTTACCCTAGAGCTTCAAGCACCAAACTCATATGGTCTCGCACCTGCAGCTCACTCTGCAACGACGGGGTCTTCAAGTCACTTAGGAGCATGCGAATGGCGCTCATAAGGGTCTGCAGACATTTATAACTGGGTGGTTATCAGTCGCATTTGTACCAGCGGTTCGTCAGGGCATCGTTGTTGGAGGGATTCAAGGCACCTCTGAATCAGGCTGTGTTTGTGGAAGTGAAGGTAACTCTACACCAGGAGCTAGTGTTGTCTCTGCTTTTGTTTTTGATGTATCTGTTTTTGTAAAGCTTGGCGGTCAGTGGCCAGTTGTTTTTAAGAAGATGGCACGTCTCTATCGGCAGTTGTCCCGTTTCAAGGCCTTCTGTCGTGATGCTGACGTCACCTGACTGCAACATGAGCTGTTCTGTGCGTTGGGTTGTTACACCCCCAACGTTTCAGCAGGTGTAGTCATTCCGCACTCGCGGGCAATCTTTTTACGACGTTCTATGCGCACCGTGGCAGTTGGAGCACTTTGCCACAGTTGCGTGGCAGGGGCTGGTGAATGACGTTCAGCCCACCACGTGCACACAACATTGCTGGCAAAAACGCCTGTTACGCGTTCCACCCTGAAACATTTGCAGCATTAGGCGGCCCTTAGTATGTATGAACGTACTTGGTGGCAAACGTGGCCAACTTTGACGTGAGCGGGAATACTGTCTCCCTGAAAAACAAGCTTCAAGCAAAGTAAATTACTGAGCCTTGCGATGTGCCTGCTGAAGATGCCTTCTGTAGTTGCCTTTATCCAGATTAGAAATTCATCAGTAGAGAAGAAAATGTCGCCATCAGAAATGACGCTAACATTGCCATTACAGCATTCGGGGATCACTGATTGAACTTTGGCTTTGTCGATTTCTGTGATGATTTGTAGGCTTTGCATCACACTACGGTGCAGAACATAAACTGCGAGAACATTCTTATGCGAGTTGATCCTCACGTCTTTAATTTAATTTAGCGTGAAATATGCAGAGGAGACATGCCTGTTAAGGAGTCGTAAACTGGTCGAAGGGTTCATGGTTATACGACCATAATGTGTGGCCAGCCCAGCGGGGTAGCCTGCATGGTAGATACACTCGCTGCCGACGATGTTTGTAGCAGTCCTTGTTTTGCATTGCGGCTCATGACTACAGTGTAGACACCATTCGATGACCTTAGCTGTCCGAATAGAACTCCACTGCCTCGCTGTCTGTGCCACTTGAGGTGTTCGCACGTTTCTTAGCCGCTGCCGGAAGCAGTGGTTCTCCACCACTAAAGCCTTTAGATGCTTCTTCATCAATTCTCGCAAGGAGGGAGTGGTTGCTTCCAGAATTAGCGGGAAAACAAACCGAAAATTTGAGGCACAGGTAGGAGTGTTCTATGAAAAAGAAGAAGAAGAAGAAAAAAAAAGATGATAATGATGATGATGAATCCGCAGTCATGCCTCAAACCTACTCAGGAAAATCGGCCAAGAATTGAATACGTAATTTAGTGATACTTTTAAATGCAAAGCATTTCCTAGCGAGCTTCGGCGACTTTGAGCGTATCTATCTATCTATCTATCTATCTATCTATCTATCTATCTATCTATCTATCTATCTATCCGCATACGGCTTTTAGCTCTCCTGGCCGTTTCGATAATGGTATATCGACCCCAAACTTGGTATGCCATAACATGACTGTATGACAGGCATGAGTGACAAGTCAAAATTGTGATTTGTAAATCATGAATGTTATAATTTACATTTTATGGCCTTGCTGCTTTTGCGGCGGTTTCTTTCACATTTGTTGCAAAACTGGCATGGTATGACATGACTGAATAACAAACATGATTGACAGACCCTAACGTGGAAATCATGACGTGCATGTCATGATCTTTATGTCATGACTAGTCATGACTATACGCCCCGCTAATGGTGCGCTCGCAGTCACTTCGCCAGCTTCGCGTCTACCAAATTTTGTATTACGGGACGTGAATGAATGACGAAGGTATGTGATTGGTACAAACATGATAATCATCAGTGGAGGTGCGTGTCATGTAACAACATGATTACATGCCACGCTCATAATGCGCTCCCGCGCGTTATGCTAGCGTCGCATATACAAAATTTGGTATTACGGGACGTAAATGGATGATGAATGTATGAGACTGATGCAAACATGATAATCATGAGATGCGTGTCATGTAACGACATGACTACATGCTATGCTCATGATGCGTTCGTGGCCGTTTCGGTAGCTTCACATGTACCAAATTTGGTATTACGTGACGCGAATGTACGACATGGCTGAAGGACACGTCGAAAAATGATAATCATGACATCCGTGTCATGTAACAACATGACGACATGCCACACTCATGATGCACTGCAGCATTTCGCTAGCTTCACATATGCCAAAATTGGTATTACGTCACGTGAATGTATGACTAAGGAATTTGACTGCTGCAAACATGATAATCATGAGATGCGTGTCATGTAACATGACTACATGCCACACTCAAGTTGCCAATACAATTTGACGTGACCCCGCGCGCGTGCGCGCCGGTGCTCGTTTCGTCGCGTCATGCCGGCGATACCACGCCAGGCACCGATCTACCTGCCGTATACTTGCAGGCGCGCGCCACGTTGCGTTTCTTTGACGCATGAGCGTTTGAGCGCACCCGGCGTCCCTCCATCACGAAGAGACGCCGATGCAGTGCTGTCTGGTTAGAGCTGGGTAACGTCATGGTGCGAAATTCAGCATGTTGCATATCGAGCCGGTTGCCACCGGGCTGCGCCGACGGACGCTAGTCACGCCGGTTGCGCCGGTCGCACCTGGCGTCCGTTTTGCTAGCGCAGCATCGCTTCGCCCAGCGTGCACGCTCGTCAACGTTAGGTCGGAGTATATCGGGCCCTTCATGATGCGCTCGCGGCCATTTCGCTAGTTCCACATATACCGAATTCGGTGCTACGAGACGTCAATTGATGACGAAGGTAAATGACTGGTGCGAGCACGATAATCATGACACGCGTGCCATTTAAGAACATGACAACGCACCAAGCTCAAGATGTGCTCGCGGCCGTTTCACTAGCTCCACATATAGTGAATTTGATATCACTTGACCTGAACAGACAACGAAGGTAAATGACACGTCCAAACATGATAATCATGATATGCGAGTCATGTAACGCATGACTACATGCTAGTCTCATAGCGTGCTCACGGCCCTTTTACTAGCTCCACAAACACCAAATTTGATATTAACTGATGTGAATGAACGGAGAATGTAAATGACAGATCCAAACACGATAATCATGATATGGTTATGTAAAACATGAATATATTTTACGATCATAGCGCGCTCGCGACTGTTTCGCTACCTCTACGTATACCAAATTTAGTATCAAATGATGTGAATAGATGACGAAAGTAAATAACGCATGGAAATATAATAATCATGACGTAGAAGTCTTGTAAGCCATAATTTACCTTGACCTCGTAACTTTGTGCTGATTTTAAAGTGGTGTATCAACCTGCCTCATTGGTGCTTCGCATATCATCAGTGCCCAGTGTACGTGGGATCTGCCCATTTTTTCCGTATTTATTACCCATGCCCCCCCCCCCCCAAAAAAAAAAACGTAGGTAGAACAGAAGGAGTACAATAATTGTTTGGTGTTCATTTAATGGTTAGTATTTTTCTTGGTTGGCCCAGTGGCACTTACAATTACATATATAGGCATGTATTACAGGCAAAAGCAGGTAAACTCACTGGAAAGTTTCTATAGGTGTTGCAGTGATCTGCAGAAGAGTGATATGAGTCCATTTTTACGAATCGAACCAATTCCTGAAATTCTTATAAGCTGACAGGGTCTAGCAGTGTGCTTCGTGAAAACGCTTCTGCTGACCCTCATTTTAGTTTCCCCCACTTGTTGCCGTTACACGCATTCGATACTGCTATGGAATTCAGGCACCAAGAAATTTGTCGAACACGGCAGTTATGAATTTGGTTCCTTTTAATGCGTTTTCTCTTTTTTTCCATAGCTTTCAATGGTAGCATTAGTAGTGTGGAATAACCAGTCACATGTCGTTCGTCAGAGGCCCAGAATCCTTGTTAGGTACTTCATAAACAAAGGAATAAGAAAATTTAAAAATATAAGTTTTGAAGAGATATGGTTTTGAGATACATACAACACGATGCGGTAAAGAAGCACCCTTGATGGAGGAAAACAGCCTCGAACATAAGCTGTTGAAAGTCTTCCCGGCCCTACAGGTAAGACCTCCATAGCCCGCATTGCTCTTCCCGAAATCCCTTGATGTCTGTGATGTTTTGGTAATCGATGTACACAGAAACCGGATTGTCAGGGGTATACTTAGGCCATGGTTTCTTCATTGGTAGCTCGGGGACCCTGCAAAAGTGATTAGAGTGAAAGAAATTTTCATATGAGAGATGTGCGTACAATTCACAGAAAATGGCAAGAAACTTGTCAGTAAGCTTTAAGTAGAGAATTTTGTGATTTTATGATATGCACATTCCGCCTTGTCATTTGCCGCTATCCTATACTTTACGTTGCCTGTACAAAGCATGGTACATAAATTAGTTGATGCTTGGAGCGCTGAGCGTTCCCTTTTAAGGCTTGAAACACTTGATAATACCACTAAAACCAGACGATTGATGATCTTGCCGTGAAACTCCTGGTTACTGCTCCGGCCTAGCCAGCGCAGCGAGTCCCTTGATACATTTTCAAACGACTGGTCGAGGGTCATCGCTTTTGTCATTGTGCCATTACTATCGATAATTATGTCTGACATCTGTCAATTGTTATGAAATTTTCAATTTTGTCTTGTGACTTGTTGCATTGCCTTCAACAAACCCAGACCAAAATATAAGATAACCTTCCTATTGCAAAAAAAAAGAATCACTTCAGTTGGCCTAATGTCGTACAGTTAATGGCAAAGCAAAACTAAGAGGAAGCTTCAGCAAAAAAAAAAGCAAAGTGCTGTAAAGCTAGGCGGACATGGGCAAGGTTTAGCCCTGAAGGAACATTTTCTCTATTTAAACTCCCACGTGTCTGCAAACTATATTGCACCTCCTTCCTTAACCAGCCTTCGTTATAACAAGATGTACCTTCCCAAGTTATTTCTCGCCTCCACATCGTCACATCACTGATTATCACGCTCACTTCGTGTATCCACTTATTCATAAACTAGCCAACACATGACTATGCGTTGTTTGAGTCGCTATACCCCTCCCCACTTTTCTTAGCTATCGTCTGTGCAAGAACAGAGCATTTGAGCTGAGATTTGACTGCTCCTCTGCAAGTAAGCTTCAGCGAAGGTATTTCTTTTCTTGTCTTTAACGGTGGCAGTAAGCCTCGAAATTGCTCCGGTGTTTTCCCATTGCAGAGGCTCACTAACACACCCTCAAAGGAACGTTGTCACGGCCAAGTAGGATGATCTGTGCTAAGTAACGATCAGCGCTAAGTAAAATAGGACTTCACTTGCGCACGTAGAGCTCTTGAGCGTACATCACCTCACCAGCTAGCCTGCATCAGATTTACATGAAATCTGAGCGTCGGTTCCACGTTTACTGCGTAGATATGTCCTATATAATGAGAACGCAGAGATGACCGCCGCCGTAGGTCACTGGTAGAGCATCGGCCGCGTTATTAGAAGGTAGCAGGTTTGGATCCTACAGGAGGCAAGCTAATGTTTAGTCTATGTTACTTTCTTGAGATTTACATTACCGTTACTTGTAATAACATCCACTCTACTTTGTTTGGCATCATTGCCTGTTACAGGCTCAATTATGAGTGGGCAAGTAGACACTCAATTATGTGAAAGTGTATCTGCAAGAGGTTTTGGAAGAAACGTTGAACACAACTTTGTTACTAAGCATATGTATGAGCGAGAACAAAGATCCTGACGAGAGTTGATATTGGTAGAACCTTCAAAAAATTGCGCTCCCACGACCTTGGACGTGACAAAAGAGTAGAAACTACGTATATGCGCAAACTGTGAACTCACTCATGATGTGGAAGAGTGCCATGTAGATTTGTAGAAGTAAACATCATCATAGTCGAAAAGGACATCTTGGAAGCCTTAAGTGTTTGTGTCTAATAATAGATTTTAAATCTTTTTGAGCACGTGTAGGGAGTTATTGAGCGCGGCGAGCGGGAGGGTGGCTAAATATACACTGCCCACAAACGTAGTGGGAAATGTTTCAGAGTCGATTGATTGTATGTTACATGCCTCTGTGCGTCAATCACAGGAACCCTTTGCGAAAATGTTTCATGTTGATCTTTAAGACACTGCAAGTCAGAGCTTCGAGCAAGTATTTACAAATAAAATGAGTCATTCGCTGCGAATTTGCAATCTAACATCAGAGTAGATTGCTTTTGCACAAAAAGGTTATCTTCACAGTCCTTGTAAACTTTTTAAGATGTGAACGGATGCTTTGTTATTTTTGAATAGTGTGGGTAAGACTTCCTCGTGTATAAAAGTGCAAAGCGGAATTCTCTGAAACAATGTGTCAATATTTTACACAGATCGTTGCTTCAGACGACCTTGCCTGTAGAAGTATTCATTATCGATTGCAAGGTACGTAGCTTATGCCGACATATTACTTCCACTAAGCATTGTCTTCTTTATTTGGGCCACCATGTTTAAGATCTATTGCTTACTGCAAGACTAAACAGGTACACCGCAAGAATGACGTCATGCTTACTCACCCATTCGCCGCAAACGACTTCAACGCTGTCACTATAACTTCTGACACCACAGCGTCTTCGTCATCGAAACGTTCCTGATCAGTGAGGGGAGCTCCGAAAACGTAGTTTATGTCAAATGCATGTGGTGTCCCCATCCAGGTAAAAAGTGGACTTTTAGCTGACTTGTGACCAAACACGTACGAATACACTTTCTGACCACGGTCGGCATGCTTCTCCGCCGTGAAGTGCATGGGACAAACAAAAACAGAGTCGGAAAGGTAGTCAACGTAGCCGCGCCTCAAGGACGCCTTGTCATGGGCCTTTGCTGTATACTTCTCCAACATTTCGGGAAAGTCCATCTTGAGCCAGGAGAATACGCCTTCGTGGAGAGATTGCCTAAACTTTTTGTCGTCAATGTCTTCCACGTCATCTGGAAGTAGCTCGCTTCTAAGAGGATATATGAGAGAAAGCACCCCTTCATCCTCAGTAACTCCCTGTAAAATGTCCACAGAATGAACGAATCCCTTGCTGATGGCGACAGGGGGCACCTTAGGGAGAAACTCGTTGTGGTAAGTTGGAAAGAAGTAAAATACTTTAGGTGCTAGGGTTTCGGCGGCAGCGACTGTGATCTCATCCGCGCTTTTTGTTCTTAGGCAGTCGATAATGGTTTCTGCGTTGGATGCCAGGCTGTCGTCCCTACCTGCACACCCTACGATAGCTGCAACCCGGTCGCCTTTGCTAATACTCTCATGGGTGGCATCAAAGAAGTCCAGGGTGTGCATTGTTCCGCTCATCATAAATGCCCTTTGAAACAAGCCGCGGCTCATGGGAGACAGTACGTGGGCATGGACGCTCATCCCACCAGCGCTCTCTCCAAATATAGTCACTCTTGACGGGTCACCACCAAACTCGCGAATATTCTCCTGTATCCACTTGAGAGCGAGACTCTGGTCCATTAGACCCATGTTTCCCGGTGCTTCTGGGCTGTTTGCGTCAAGGAAGCCTAGAATTCCCAGGCGATAATTCATTGAGACGACAACGAAGCCAGTCTTGGCCGCAAGTGCAGCACCAGTGTAGTTATCGTAGCTCGCGCATCCCTGCGTGAAGCCACCTCCGTGAATCCACACCACTACTGGAACTAGGTCTTCTTCGTGAGCAGCAGGACTCCAGACGTTTAGGTGCAAGCAGTCTTCGGTGTAGTCGATCTCACCAGCCATAAGTTTGCTGAACACCACCTGCAAGTTTGATGAGACTCGATGTATTGATTGGGCTCTCACATGTACGAGTTTAATGCCGTGTACAGATTACCACTATGCCCTGAAGAATGAGTGAAGCACAAAATGTAAGCCCAAAAGGGACGTAGTGCAGTTTCTATCTATTTCTTTTTCAAACAGGGTTACCATTGGGAGGATTTGAAAGTGTGCAAGACTTATGGTAGAAGCCACCAAAGCAGCAATTCTTTTTATTTTTGCGGTCTAATTTGTAACCATAAAAACCAGAAAACGTATTAAGGAAAGTGTTTATTATACCGAGCAATAATTAATAACATACTGAATATGGAAGGCCCCGCAAGTAGGATCCCATTTTTGTCGTTTTTCCTAATTTTCAAGGCATTGAAACTGAAAAATTCACAGCATATTGCCACGCTATGTTGGTGGCAGAAGAAAAGGGCATAGAAATGAGTGACTGTTGTAGATGAGTTTCAGGCAACAAAAGAAAACAAAACTAAACAGTCGTTTGCTTCGAGTTTCAGATTTTTACGCGACAGACTGGTGATAGTGCGGGGTACTGCGACGTCTTATGCCTGCTGGTTCTGAACTAGAAGCAACTAAAGACAGTAAACTAGGGTCTACGGGTAGGCATTAAAGCAGCCGCTGCCTTCAAAACTACCCCCATAGTACGGCCCCTTGTAATGTTTCGTGAGGACAATGTTTGCCACATCCGCAACCCTATCCTAGCATGGCCCATTCGCTGGTGTACCGTGTGTCAACAAGATGCCTCGAAAGTCCAACTAATTTCATGACCATGCCGGTAAGGATGTGAAAGATCAGCGCGACCGTTTTTACCAAGTCGCTGCCATTAACGACTGGGAAAATTGCCGTAAGTTGAAGAACGTCTACATCTTTCTCTTAGACGTTGCAATAGTGTGGTACGAGAACTAAGAAGTTTCACTCACGAGTTGGCAGGAATTACATCGGCAGCTTTACGAGTAATTCAGTAACTCTGAATGAAAAGATAGAAGGGAGCAGACACTTTCTTCGTGGTTTCGAATGCTGAACGATAGCGTCGCCATGTGTGTCGAAGAGATGCCGCGTTTCGACGGGCTGACATTCACATGCTAAAATAAAAAAGTGCGCCTGTTAATGCGAGGCGCAAAGGAGCCGTTTTTTTTGCAGGCCTCGTGCACAACTATTCCAGGACGGTGTCGGAGTTCGGATGCACTGCCACAATTACGGATCACACGCCACGCCAGTGGTTGTCGCAGTATCAGTGTCAGATGTCTATGTACGTTGCGTGCTCCCTTGCGCCAGGAGGGGAAGGCAGGGAGATTCTGACAGAACTTATACGGCAGGTTGTACGTGAAGAACTTCAAAAACCTTAAGCAGCGTCCCCTATGAGCATCGCTGCTCTTACAGACGTCGCTCGGAACGAAATCAGGCAGGTCATTCATTTCTCACCACCATCGCCAGCTGAACGTCTCACACTTTCCTATGCGGACGCTCTGCGCGTCTCTATGCCGTCGACAGCGTTTTGTTCATTCACCTGCTGGTTCACGTCAAAGTTTTTTAAGCCCAGTCCATCACCCGGCTTTGGAGGCCGATTTTAGTCCTTGCCCGTGGTAGTCCACCGTCTGGCGTGCATCCGGCAATCATCCTTTGTGAAACCATTGTGGCGAGGTCGGACACATGTGCCGTGACTGTTTCTACCATCGAATAGTCCTACGCGGATACCGCCAAGATGTCCGTTGTCCACGCTAGACTAAAGCCAGCCAGAAATTGAGGAATACTTGAAAGTTAGTCGTCACGCTTCTGTCCCGCCGCGACGACAGTCACGGTCTACATCACCCCATCCGCCCGCATTAACACACCACATGCGAGAAGCCTTTGGGTCTCCTGGTGTCGGTGGCGCAAGCTTACGCCGAGTAATCTGAAAACGGCTACCTCCGGAGGTGAGGCATCTGTCACGTGGCCCGACAAAACTCACGACGTACCATTAAAGCCTGCTTCTGAAACAGAACGTCCGTTGTCCATTACCGTTTCTGTCGACTGTTATCCGATGACTGCATTTGTCGGCACGGGAGCTTAATACTCGGTGATGAACGTTTCATTGACCACCCGTGTACACAAAGTGCTGACAGCGTGGGACTGGCCCACAACTAATCACCGCTGGTGGACACCTCGTATCACCTAAAGGAAGGTGGACCCCCAGGCTTGAAATTTGTGCGTCAGCTTTCGTGGCATCTTTCGGGGTAATGTCGAACGGTTCTCGGCCGATCATTTTGGCCATGGATTTTTTCCGAGAATATAGGCGATAGTTTATATGCGCGATTTGTTCGTCAGTTTTGCTAAGTGTGTTTCTCCAGATTCGAACATCGAGAACGAACGAATTGGCGTGGCCTTACTCGTAGCTGATAATTAGGTTACATTGGCGCCTCACAGAAGTATCTTCGTCTTTGCTAAGGGTCCGCAGGGGCAGTCAATAACGGGCATCGCTGATGGCAATCTCAGAGCATTGGTTGATCGGGAAGTCGTCATCACTCAAAGTCTCGTTCAACTCCATTGGCCAGAGTACGCTTTTATTTACGGACTTCAGTGGCGAATACACGAGTTTTAGAAGATGAACCACGCTTACTTGAAGATTCCCCGCCGCGGTGGTCTAGTGGCTAAGGTACTTGGCTGCTGACCCGCAGGTCGCGGTTTCATATCCCGGCTGCGGCGGCTGCATTTCCGATGGAGGCGGAAATGTCAGTAGGCCGGTGTGCTCAGATTTGGGCGCACGTTATAGAACCCCAGGTGGCCTAATTTCCGGAGTCCTCCACTACGGCGTCTCTCATAATCATATGGTGGTTTTGGGACGTTAAACCCCACAAATCAGCGCTTACTTGAAGACCTTCCCTTTGGTTACGATGTTCTCGAATGAGAGCAGCTGCGATACTGATGCGACTAGTTGTGACTGTCTGTGGAACCGCGAAAGTGTTATTTAGGACATGAAGAACTCAAAATTTTTAGCCATATTTTCAGAAGCAGCGATGTTCATTCCTATCTTAAAAACGCTATAGCAGTTACTTTGTTCCTGATGCCAAAAACAAAGCACGTTGCGCGCCACTTTCTGGGTCATTGTGCTTATCACCCCCCCTTCGTGCGACATTTGTTGAAAATTGCCAACCTTCTATACACAACCCCAGGAAGGATGACTTCGCCTTCGTCGGGGGTCCACAACAGTCCGACGCTTTCCGCGACCTTAAACAACGCCTGCAAACGCCGCCGATTCTTGGCCACTTTGACACCGAAGCCAACACAGAAGTCCGCCCTGATGCGAGTAACCTTGGCCACGGAGCTGCTCTCCTGCGATATCAAGATGGTGTGGAACACGTCATTGCTTACGCTAGCTGTGCGTTGCCGTCTGCAGAGAAAAACAGCTCAAGGACTGAAAAAGAGTGTCTGGCCGCTGTACGGTGTATTACGAAAATCAGGCAATACCTTTACGGACGCCCCATCCAAATCGTGAGTGACCACTGCTGTCTCTGTTGGCTGGCTAGTTTGAAAAATCCTTCGGGACGTACTCGGCTTCATCGTGCGATAACGATAGTTTACAAGTCTGGCCAGAACCACACCGACGCCGACTATATTTCCCGCGCACCCATCAAGATCGCGGCAGACGACAAGGATGAAGACTTCAGCTGCCTTGCTAATCGGGCGTCATTAAACGTGGCTGAGCAGCAACGCGAAAACTTAGAACTGCTACCACTGATTGAATACCTTCGGACACGTCACCCACAACCCCGCCGTCAGTTTGCGCGTGACTTGGCATCTTTCTGCTTACGCCATGACATCCTCTACAAGCACAATTTCATCTTACGAAAACTGTTCACCTCCTCGCCGTCCCTGCTGCTCTCCACGGTGACATTTTACGCGCTTGCCCCGACGAGCCATCGTCAGGACATCTTGGCTTTGCGCGTACTTTGGCGAGGATCAAAACAATGACTGTGAGCGGAAACTTACAAAAACCACCTGGCAGTACGCCAAAACTTCCAAACATTGCCAAAGCCGCAACAATTGGTGAAACCAGCCAGTCTGCTTCAGCCTGCACGACTCCCTCACGCACCTTTTGACACGGTCGGGATAGATTTATATGGGCCATTACCAAAGTATGCTGCTGGTAACCGCTGAATTGTTGTTGCTACCGACTATTTGACTAGACACTGTCGCTACACAATGTGGTAAAGCAGGCAATTTAGCGCAAATAGCCACCAATGCTGACGCAGTTTGCAATCGTTGCATTAAGCGAGCAGTTGATTTACGTAACGCACAAAGAAGCGTTTGCGTTAAATGTTTCAGAATAGTATAGTCATTCCAATTATTCCGCCTTAACACTATTGATGATTGATTGATTCATACGCGGGGTTTGACGTCTCAAAGCTGTCGTATGAATATGAGAGAATGCCGTAGTTAAAGGTACGAGAAATTGTGACCACCCGGGGTTCTTTATTGTGCACCTAAATTTGAGCAGAGGAGCCTAATTCATCCTAATTACCTAGTAAAACCCTTTTGACCACTATCACCGGCTACCGCCAATGAAAGAACAAACCCCTCGTATATGTATATTTTCAAGGGGGGTTCAATTGCATAATAAATAGACTTTACGAAATGGGCGTGATGCTCTTTTACCCTTTCGTTTAAACATCGTCCAGTTTGTCACACGTACTGTCTTCCATACGAAAGCGACAGACAGTACATCACACGTTGAAACTGCTAAATCACTTCACATGTTTAACCGATCACCCTCGAGATTTCAGATTTAGAATTCCTACAATAAAATCATTTGCACATGCTAACATTTTGAAACTTCTTGGAGTACTATAGGGCATAGCCAGACACACACGCACACACGCATGCCTGCACGCACGAACGCACGCAGGTACACAAAAACAAAAAAACACGCACACGCACATACACACACAAACGCACATACCCACGAAAGCTTTAACACAGCGTTACAATTTCACATATCAGACACGGGCGTGGTAGTGCAGCGGTTACGACACACGGTAGCTGTCCCTAAGCCTGCGGGTTTGATCCGAACCATGGCGGTCGCGCTTGAGTGTAGGCGAAACGCTGAAGGACCGAGCCTTGTGTGACGTCAGTGCACATTAAAAAAAAACTTTAGGTGGTCAAATTTTTTAGAACGCTCAACTTTCATTCATCGCTCACATTCATATCATTGCTTGATGACGTAAAACTCTAGACATCATTATTATATCGAGATGCCCGTCAGTTGGACCACACACACAAAAAACGAGAACAAACGTATAGTGAACAGTTGCTGCACAAATAGGACTTCCCTGAAAGAGCACATAAACCTGAAGAGGACGTTATGTAGGGTGACGAAGACGATAGGAATGGTGTGTTTGAAACGCCGGACGAGTAATTGCATTGATGCATCACTCAAATAATTCAATTTTAGAACACGTCTCTTTGCACTATATAGGCCAAATTAAATACCTCTAAAAACAAAAGGGTCTGTATTATCGCGTTAGCAAATGAGCTTTATGCATGCTTGTTGTATATTATAGGTGCTTTAAAAGTAGTGGTAATGATGCTCGACTATTGACACTAAGGTCGCCGGATTGAGCCCCAGCCGCGGCGGCCACATGTTGGAGAAGGCGAAATGCTTGAAGCCCGTGTACTTACATTAAGGTGCGTGCTGAATAACCAATCGTGGTGGCAATAATCAGATCCCTCCAATAAAAATTTCCCAATGAAGTAATAGGACGTGAAAGTTCAAGAATTATTATTGTGCTTTTTTCCTAAGTTTGGGCTTAAGTGATTTGATTGAAGGCTTCACGAATGATAGAAGAGTGTGAATAAGACATCACAGATATATCAATGCGCAGGACCACACTCCTTGAAAGATTCTATTTGAAGAATCGACTGACAGAACAGTTAGCTTTTCGAAGCCTGGCGAACTGATTTGCGAGATATCAAATGTGTGCTGCAGCTTACATTGATTATTTCAAAGGCAAGTAAGTGTACAGTCGTTCATTACACTTGATTTGTTTGTACTGCGAGACAATGCACGGTACTTTTGATGCGTGCCTGGTACAAATAGGTACTAGGCATCACTGAACTTAGTCTCTGCAGTTAGCAAGCACTGTCTACTGTGTTTATTAGCTAGCCATGAAGTAATTAAATGTATGTAACAAAATTAAGTGGTAGTTTAATTACTCTCCAAAAGCCACGCCATGGTAATTGCAGTAATTTAGCCATCATTATTGATCACTAATTAATCCATCGTGAAGTTTCCCTGAATTATATGTAGAATATCTTGAGCTCACTAGGTGCTTTTCATAACCCACACGTTCCCTTACGAGTGGGTTATTGTTATGCCAGCATGTTGGCGTTGGGAACTCGGTCTCTGCGAACTGCTGCATACCTGCGGGCAAGCCGTCCGCCTGCTTGTTGCGTCCAGGATTCCATCCCAAGGCTTCACTGGCTGAGGTGGAAGAAATCGGAGCCTGCCTACGGGGGGCTGGGCAAATGGTATGCCGCGGTACTCTTCCACCTTCTGCCCAAGCACATTCAGGCGATTCCCTCCGACTATTCCCAGACGGGTGGCTTTCTCCACGTCATACGCACGGTCGCAGTTCACGGCCGCCGTAAGCAGCAGCAATACGCAGCACCGTGCCCCGCCCATTTCCTGGAAGTTCGGCTCTCTATGCACCCGCCAACAGACAGCTGTAAAGAAAAGCGATATTTTGTTAAAGCATTTATTTATGCCATCAAGACTTGAAGATATTGCAGAAATAAGTCAGTAGAGATAGAGAAAAAGCTTAAGTGAAAGTGATGGAGGTTGACTGGATGAAAGTGTTCAATTTGCTATCTGGAGCTACGGAAGAGGTTGGGATGTATAGAAACTGAACAAAACAAACAAAGAAGATATCTATTTAATATGCTACGGCAAGACCGAGAGAAAAATTGGCCCGAATCTGCATGTATACACTGTAAATGTTTTCGAAAGACGACAGTCTTACTTCTGGAGAGAGTGAACAAAATGTTTATTTGATGTTCTGTGCAAGAGAATAGGTGAATGGTATTCTGCAGGCGCTGAATTAGAGTGTCTCGAGCGTGTGTGGGAGGCGAACGAGTGCATCTAGGCACGTTATACACAAGTGCCATCTGGCACTTATCTTTGAAAACGAAGGCGTGCTGCCCGCGGAGAAAGATACGCACCAGCCTCGGAGGTGATAAGGTGTAGAATGCAAAGCGACGAGCAGGTGCCATCACCATGACGTCGTAGCAAAGCGTTGGAAACACCTTTTTGAGCATCGCGTTGCACTGTCAGCGCAGCGCGAATAAACGTTACATTCCTTAGTTACTTGTGTGTGCCTCTTCTAGTATAAAGGCGGACAGAGAAAACATCGGAGCGTTGTTGTGGCGCCTCAGATATACGCAATAATTGCTTTTTAATTGACAATTGCACAACTATGAACGCTAAACATTGAGCAATATTGGTGGGCTCTGCGGATGGGGTTGATCGTTTGGTGCGAATTGAGGTATCAACAGGCCGGACAAACAGACAGACAGACAGACAGACAGACAGACAGACAGACAGACAGACAGACAGACAGACAGACAGACAGACAGACAGACAGACAGACAGACCAAAACTTTTCCGTAGAAGGTCCCCAAGAAAGACTATCATCTTTAAAAAATTGCTACCCAAGCACTTTGTAGAAATAGTTAACCGCCGAAAGCTAAAACGTGTGGCTCTGGTGTTTAGCAGAGAGCTCAAGGTGACACTGCATGCTCTAAAGCCATTCACAATTATTGGTTATATTTCCGTGCTCCTCAATGAGGTTCGACACGCGTTCGGCTTGGTAGACACTGACACGTTGCCACTGAGGTTTCCGCAACGCCGCTCGTTCGGTGCGCCGTTGTTGCTAGCGTTTGACATCACGAGCTAACTTGGCGGCGTGGTTTGCAGGATCCGCCCGTTACCGGCACTTGCATTCCCGTCAACAATTTAGCGCTGCTTGGAAGGCTGCTGCATCACTGATACGCAACGGCAGCCGGCACTCGACCTTCCGTGCTTGTTTTTGCGTCCGCACTGCAGCAACGACACGGTGAACACGAGCTTTTTCCCGTTTCCACTGCCGGCGCTCTTCTAAAGTTGTCCGCTCTTCGGGAGTTCGTAGGATCCGTGGCTTGCCACGTGGAAGCTGATGTACGCCTGGATACTGGATGCACGTGGATACTGATGCACGCCTGATTAGTGCCACGGCAACGACAGAATGAACCAGGTCACTCACAGTGCACCCAATGAGACGCGTGCTTTGAGACGACGCTAAGAACTGCGTAACTAATAGCACAGTCAGCGAAGAACGCTTGTTACACCGGTGCTGAATGGTCTCTCATTTCTTCTAGCCATATACAGCTTTCACTGTAAACGCGCGCACACACGCGCACACACGCACACGCACACACACACACACGCACACGCACACGCACACACACACACACACACACGCGCGCGCACGCGCGCACACACACACACACGCACACGCGCACACACGCGCACACGCACACACGCGCACACGCACACACGCGCACACGCGCACACGCACGCGCACACGCACACACACAAAGTTAGTTAAGGGGTCCTAAGCTTCGCCTTTAGGAGTTTAACGCCGTAGTGACATTCTGTTCATAGTGCGTAATTTGAAGACTCAGTGCATGAAACTTTTTCAAAGTTGCTGTGCAACCACTACGTGGCTTTAAGGAAATAAGCGCAGTAGCTGTGTGCCTTTTGTAGTGGGGTACCAGCTTTCAACCACGGAGCCATTATGATAACATATTCTGACTATCTTTAGCAATAAACGCTTGAACCACGCAATATAACTGCAATATTTTATGTTGCAGTGTGAAGCATGAATACAGGAGGCGCGTCTTTGCAAAGTATGAAAGCTACTTTTGATGTACTTTCCAAGCAGAAGAATTTCTTTTCACTGTTTTCGCAATCGTAGGCGTGGCCTTGTGGGGAACATCTGCTTGACACGCAATTGAACCTGGCTCGATCCGCACTCGAACCCAAACAACCCTGATTTGGTCTCCACTGTGCTTCAGGATGTATTTATTTTATTTGCATTAATCTCCATTTTTCGCTCACAACCAACTACATTGACGCCGACGCCCCGGAATTTCTGCGAAACGAGCTTTTTAACGATATCGCATTAAAACACACACACACACACACACACACACACACACACACACACACACACACACACACACACACACACACACACACACACACACACACACACACACACACACACACACACACACACACACACACACACACACACACACACACACACACCACACACACACACACACACACACGCGCGCGCGCGCGCGCGCGCGTCTGCGGAAGGCATTATTTCTGGTATCTATAATTTTCGTGATAGGGGCGATTTATAATCTTCTTATACACACTCCAGTCCATACTCAATAAGGAAAAACGCATTTGCTTTGGCAGTTGCCCACCGAAACTAAGCGATCACGTTTGCGATAATACGTAGGAAGAGCACGACCATTGCAGATGGACCACGCATAACAATAGCCATTCATGCAGCAGTGTGTGACAGTCCACGCACGTTCTCATAGACTCCCAAAAGGCTTGCCGACTGTTCTTCAGAGGCGTCCTTCTCCTGAGCGTGCTATGCATGCTAGTATCCAACCTCTAAAAATACCACGGCTTCACATGGTGCCCCGTTCTGGAAAGTGTAGGAGGAAACGAACGGGTGGACCACTTGTCTCGAGTAATAAATTTCCGAGCCGCGGACAAGCCGACCGCGACCGATTATTTCGCACCTACGCTGCCGCGAGATATCCTTGAGAAATAAGGACTGTCCCGGCAGACGATCGTGCCACCCCACCCTAAGCTGGCTCACTCGCAATCCAGAGATTGAAGTGAACACAGACGAACACATACCACAACATACACACACTCAGCAAAATCCAGCCATCCGGATTTCAACTGAGGAGGACGTGTTTCTTGCGTTCCCGTCCTTACCCCGATCTTTGCTGCGCGCTCTTAGCGTGGAGCCTTTTTAAGGGCTACATATGGTGCCTCAGCGAGGCAACCGGAAGAAAACACCACAGCAGGATGCCGTCATAATGGCAGCCTCAGCATCATCTTCAGTGCCAACAAAACAACAGCAGGCACAATCCAAGCCAGCACGCTCCGAGAAAACCCAGTGGCAGAAAGTCAGCAGCCAACACACTGCCGCCCTCTTCCCCGCTTCAAGCAAAGCGAATGTGCAAACCCGAGATTCCTCGTCTCCTGCCACGGCCGTGGCTATCCGCGAGAGATACATCCCTGGTAGCAACACCTCCTCATCTCGTCCTTCAACTACTGCGACCGCCGACTAGACGGTGTCCGCCTCCAGTGAGTGCGGTGGGCTCCCAAGCAAACGGCATCCGCCTCCAGCGAGAGCGGCGTGCCGCCAAGCACGCCTCCACGTTCTGACAGGTCCCCACGTCGTTGCCGACCTTTCTCCGAGTGAATGTGCGGCCACCATCGTCTTTGGGCCCGTTCGGAAGAAGGCTAACTTCCTGGCTGCGTCGAGGGATGCTTCGCCTTCCCTTTGATCGCTGCCTTCCTCTCGGGCTTCCCCGCCACCCAGCGAGTGCGGGTAAATTTCCGGCGCAACCTTGTTGCTGTCGACACGCATCCTACCACTAATCTGACCGCCCTACTCCAGGCTGGGACAATCTGCGAGACCAAGGTTCGAGCCCAATCACTCGACCTGAACACCTGTGTTGGCATGGTTTTCGGAGTGGACCCGACGATTCCCTTTGAAGACCTCACCGACAACATTGCTTCACCTGTGCCCCTCGTGTCCAGTGTACACAGAGGCAACTGCCTCACCCTCACCTTCGCTGGGGCTACCAGTCCCGCCGGATATACTGCTTCACAAGCAAAGGCAACCTGTTTGACCTCGTCAGCCCTGGCCCCTGCAGTGCTGCTGTTGTGGCCGCTTCGGGCACGCAACCGCCACCTGCTCTCAAGACAAACGGTGACTGCGCTGCGGCATTAAGCACGCCCCAGGATCGTGTACAGCACACCCTCGTTGCATAAGCTGGAGCGGGAAACACCCTGCAACCGAGCACCGCTGTCCAGCCTGGCAGCTGCATCGCAGGGCCGTGGTCAGGACATCATGGCATCAACTGACGGTACCGTGACTCACCGCCTAAGCCCTGCAGCACGGTAGGACCCCTGCCAGCAACGCCTCCACCATCAAGAGACGCTCCTTCCGAGATTCGCTCGCCGGTACCGACGACACGACCTCGGAGGCCGCCCCTCGTCCTACACGAGTGCGCCCGTCGTCCACACTACAACGACGACTGAACCCGCCCTCATCCACAGCTCAGCCAGCCCCTACCGTCATCCAAAAGCGCTCGACGGCGACGCAGACACCGCGCGCTCTTTCACAACCACCGGTTCCTGTCACCGTCACCAGAAGCACGATTACTGAGCCCGCTACCTCAACCTCGCAGCAACCTGGCATACAAACCAGGAATGACATCCTCACTGGGCTTGCTTCGGGACTTTCAGTGGCGCTCAGGGCCCTTCTAGTTGTCTTCCACGAGTGCAATCTCCGTGTTGTGCCCCTGCTCGCCTTCTGGACTATTGCTGAACGGTTTGGCCTCTCCCTGAACAAACCGACTTC